GAAGATGCCAGCGTGGAGTGCTCAGGTAACCCTCAGGTCTTTTCTACTTCGTACCACATTGGCCTTTCTGCTTCAAATAAGCCAGGGTGCAGTTTCTGACCCATCCAGTTAGGAGGTCAGAGATGCAGAATTACTCTGTTGAGCTCCAGCTTCCTACTCCACTTGACCCAGACAAGTTGCAAAACAACACCTGGACCTGGAACAACCTGAAGAGCTGGGAGTGGACACAGATAGTTCCCTCCCTCCCCTGACATCCTCCATCCTGATATTTATTTCCCTTCAACTTTTCTTCTCAAGCTAGAAACTAGGAGAGAGTCTTTGACAGCCATTTAGGACGAGAAGAGGTAGTTTTGGTGCATCATGGGTGATTCTGCTTTCTCCAGGTGATCAGGGGCACAGAGACTTGTCCGAAAACTTCTCCCTTGTTTGTTTTTGGCAGGAACAGAAATACCTGAGCCAGGCCCAATCCGGCTGGTAGGAGGCCCAAATCGATGTGCTGGGAGGGTTGAGGTGCTTCATGAAGAACAGTGGGGCAGCATCTGCCATGATGACTGGGATCTAAATGATGCCCAAGTCGTGTGCAAGCAACTGGGCTGTGGGGATGCGGTGCTGGCCCCCATTGGAGCCAAGTTTGGACGAGGATTTGACACCATCTGGCTGGATGATGTGAACTGCACAGGGACGGAAGCTGCTCTCTCTGAATGCCCGGCGAGGCCATGGGGGGAACACAATTGTTACCACGGGGAAGACGCCAGTGCAATTTGTTCAGGTAATCCTTCCATTCTCCTGCTTTTACCAATCATGCGTTAGGGTGTCCTCACAGTCAACACAAGCAAAACTTTGGACAGGAACAAGGACTTTCTATGGACCACTCCTCTCCTACTCAGTTGGTACTCAATCCTGATAGTCCTGCTGGTGGCCTGGGGTCCTTACACCATGGAAGAGGGCTTTAGTCTGGGAGGTTCTCTCTTCCCTGCTCCGTGGGTGCTCTGGGGTGATTTTTCTTCAGGTTAAGACTGCCATTGTGCTTCTTGCTTGGAGAGTTGCATGTCATATGTGGAGAAAGCTGTGGAGGAGAGGCAGGGAAGGGCAGGGATACTCAAGGAGAGGGGGGACACACACCAATGCCTTCTCTGGATGTGTTTGCAGAGTCGGGGATCACCGTCTCCACTTCAGTCCGCCTGGTGGGTGGCCCCAACCGCTGCTCCGGGAGAGTCGAGGTGCTTCACAACGGTGT